AGAGAGAGAGAGAGAGAGAGAGAGAGAGAGAGAGAGAGAGAGAATGAGGACGGTACAAATCAACCTACTGCTTTATTCTTTCTAAACAAATAATGATAGGAATGTGTGATCTACAGTTTACAGACCGGTATTCACAATCAGTTCTTATATTTGTATATTAAGTACAAGCTGGAAATGTTATAAGCCAATCACAGAGTATTAACATCTTAAGACATTGCTTAAGATAATCTTAAAAAGAAATCGAATAAAAAATATCAGCTTATACTACCTATATTACATTTATGGTATTATTTATTGTTTTACGCATAAACACAAACTTTGAGCATTCCAATAAAGAATTAAAAAGAGAGAGGTAACTTCGTGCATGTGGCTTTTTCTTTTTTTAAAAAAGAAATGATAAGGTTAAATCACTTATCGCTGATTCTATTAACTTAATTGTTAGATTGGTATTTATAGTCAGTTCTCATTGTAAGATTGTCTTAAGTAATATCTTAAGATCTTAAATCTGTAATTGTTTATTTTAAGATTATATTTGAAAGATGATTTTAAATATGAAAACCGATTTATGAATACCGGTCTTAGAGCATGTAAGTATGTATATTCTAAGCCTTCATTGCGCTTCCCACTCAAAATGAATTGAAAAGAAATACTGATGCACTATGATGTACTTCAACATTGCGTTCTCTTTCTAACGAAGTATAGATACAGAAATGCTACTTTAAAAGATAGCAAACGCGTAGTCTATATATGTGTGTGTGTGTGTGTGTGTGTGTGTGTGTGTGTGTGTGTGTGTGTGTGTGTGTGTGTTTTACGTCTGTGCTTTTACGCAATTTTCTTGTATCTTACACATGAAGACTTTGGATATACATACAGAAAATACTCTTATATTTTTGATTGACGAAAGGAGAGAGAGTACAAAATAATGACCTTTTTTTTATTTTTTATTTATTTTATGCTCTTTGTTGCCATCCCCTTTTTTATTATACAATTGCGAATTGCATCGTTCTAACAGTCAGTAAAGGATCATTTATATTGGCCGTAATCGTATGCCAGTAATTTGTAAGAATTGATTAATCACATTCAAGTATTCCCCTTTCATTCAATTGTAAGAGAGAAATGCTGGATCAGTCAAATCTTATAGATAACGACATATGTTACGGCACACTGTTACGGCCAGTAGTTATAAATAATTCCTAAAAGTTGAATCTCAGCTATTCGAGTAGTTGTACTGCCATCACAAATATCGATTGGCGCACATTTTAAAAAGTTCACATTTCATTTTTAACTCAATTCTTGAATTCCTTTGGTGTGAATTTCCATTAAGATATTTGACTTCCACTAAGCTAAATTTTGGGTGTGGAGTGCTCCACGATTCTACACTATAGTTGCCGGGCCTGGATATATAAAAACGATGTTTCTCATTAAAATAGTAAACCGAATATTAATATATTATAGTAATGTATAAAATTAGTAGTAATGTATAAAATTGAGGCTGGAGTTTTAAGAGAAAGGCAAAATTCATCCATAATATTATTCGTAAATTTAACTGCTCAATAAATTCGTGTATTTCATATATTGATATATTAGGTTGAGTAAAAAGTCATCGCGTATTTTTAGCTCAAAGTTGTATATACAATATCTTCGTCAATAATGAATGAAATTCAAATTTAAAAAAAGGGTTTTAAAGCTTGAAATCTCTACTTTTAAAAGCTTATCACATTTTTTAAGTTTATATGAGTTTGATAATTTTTACATAC